GAATATTCCTTTCATCAGCCCGGGGACTTTAGGGAGTCCTCTCACTCAGGGCAAGAATTTGAGTGTGCCCTGAAGATGAAAAGAAATAGATTTACTTTACAAAGAATTGCTAAAGTTATCTTTTTTACTCAAGCGAGGAAATATAGTTTCGATATTCTGAAAATTCCTCTTTTTGTATTTCTTTTATCTTATTGTATTCCTTTTATTTGTATTCCATTTTTTTCTCTTCCTCATGATGAGCCCAAAGTTTAAGTCATTATACATTGTTATCATTTTGTTTTTGTATTTCTAGGCATTAGGTTAAAATTACCAAAAGGTGTTCATCTTGGCATCTCCACAGCAGTGATAATGGCAAGCCCTCAGCTCGGGCTGTGCAGTTAGTATAGTCATGTTCCATTGTGATGGTAAGAAAACAGTTTTCTGTACAATCATAATCCCCAAATGCAGGGCCGAGGATGTAACTTACCGTCAGTTAAGTGATGCTAAGGATATGAGCATCAGTGACAGGGATACATTTCAGATGGTGCTTGGGAGAGTGGGGCTTTTCAGTGACACAGCCTGATTAAAGAATATTGTCAGTTATCATATGGATTCACTCGTATGTGGAACATAAGGAATAGAGCAGAGGACCACAGGGGAAGGGAAGGTAAACTGAATGGGAAGAAATCAGAGGGGGAGATAAACCATGAGAGACTCTGGACTCTGGGAACCAAACTGAAGGTCACAGAAGGGAGCGGGGTAGAGGGATGGGGTAACCGGGTGATGGGTACAAAGGAGGGCACGTGTGGTGATGAGCACTGGGTGTTATATGCAACTAATGAATCATTGAACACTACATCAAAAACGAATGTTGTATTCTATGCTGGCTAATTGCACATTAAAAAAGTAAAAATAAATAATAAATAAATAAATACTCTAAAAAAAAAAAAAGGATATTGTCAGAATGAGGGTACCCGTCCTGCAGACACTTCTTTCTTTTACTATACATGGGTTCACCAAGCATATTCAGCATGTGGTGCTGGGGAAACAAATGTGAAGAAAAGGGTCCATATCCCAGGTAGGGGACAGGCATGTCAAGTGGCCATAGAATACCAAGAAGATGATCACTGCTTTGAGGGCGTCCAGAGGAGGCAGTAGCTGTTTGCCTTTCTGTTCTTTAAAAGTTTAAATCCACTTTAAGATGGATTTTTAAGGTTGGTTTGTATTGAATGGAAAGGAGAGGGATGAGGCAAAGTCGTTCAACAGAACTAATTTTCCTTTTGGTTGTTCTACCACTTTGAAGAGAAACAGAGTTGTTGTGTAGTACTGGGACAGGTTTGTGGTCTGCGGTGGGAGTGAACTCCATACTGGGTAGGTGGACACATGCTTCCAGATGGATGTTGCCTTCCTGCGTAGCTCTTGTTTCCATGGCAATCAGTGAAACTGCCTGGAGACCAGAGTATAAGGTGCATACAATTGGTCTAAATGTTAAAGTAGTCATTAAGCTATGAATCTTGACCTCTTAGAAGCAATTTGCAAGAAATGAGCTCACTGTTCGAATTATGTACTTGTCCTTGAACCTGCTGATTAGAATAATTCTTCTCTAAAGCACATATTTCAGAAAATCATTATGTAAGAAATGGTGTTATTTGGAAGAATGGTCCTCAAATTATTTTGATTTTGCACTGCTATCAGTAAAATGCATTTAAGTAAATCCCAACATTTATTCAGAAATATGCACATTGATAAACAATACATGTATATTTATTTTTATAAATAAATTTAGCATATGACAGAAACTTATAAATTATATACCTGTCCAACTTTATTCATACATGCTTTAAAACATATATAAAATGTAAATTTTAAAAGAATAGAAAACAAATAGAAACGAGTTCTAACATGTCCTTTATATAACCTGAAAACTACTTTGGAAACATATTCTCCACTCAGGACACCAGTCAAGAAAACTGTACAGAGTGGAGAGAACAGAACTTGTTTTAAATACTTGGGCATTTGGGTCTCCTTTCTTCTGTATGTCATTCTAAATGCATCAATGGATTATTATAAAAGCAATGAATAATTGATCACAAAAGGAATCCATATGCAAATATAGAAGTATTTATTAAGTGAAGGAATAATGAGTGAGTTTGAATGCACTGAAGCCCTCACACTCATCTCAGTAATCAGTGTGATTTTAGCAAAGGAACTTAGTTTCTGACATGACTTTAATCTGTTAACAGAAGGTGACAGTAATCCTTACAGGAACATCATGCTTAACATGGTAAAATGGGTAGAAAATATGTTCATTTTTGGACAAGATATATCTACAGACTTGTGCTTCCTATTTTAGCATCTTCTTCAGATGACATGGAAACCCTCTTCATACTGAAGTTGCTGTTCAGAAGCAGGAAAGGAGAAATATAGTTTCTGTTTTTTGGAAACTCAGTTCAAAGTTCCTCTAGATGTCAGTATTACATAGAGAAATAAAAATACAATGGCCTGTGGCAATGAATAAAGACCTCCTTACATTATTTAAGTGGTAAAACATATGTGATATATAATTGACAAAGAAAAAATCCAGCCTCTTTTGGAAGCTGGTTTCTTATATTCTTCAGAATCGACAGCTTCTCCTGTTGGTCAACTCCAATTGCTCTACCCTAAGAATGTTTGTGCAACTCCTAAATCTTTGCCACCAGTACCTGGATGACCTTAGAGGCAAAGGCTCATCAATTTGGCACTCCATGGAGTCTTACCTCCAAATTCTCCATTTTACCTATTTTGATGAACTGAAATTGATTGATACATACCCGTTTTCTTTATCAAGTCCACCTATGTTCACATTATCCAGAATAAATCCAGAAGCACAATGCCTATCCACCAAGAATTTTCATTTCAAAAAAGAAACACTGAAAAACAAAATTGTACAGTATCTTACACACAATTTGTTAGACTATCTTATTTGGCTAATTTGACTTGTTTCAAAGTTGGACTTGAATTCTCTCTCTTTTGCCTTTCTTCTATGTTAATTCTATGTTAATTCTAATTGTTTGGTAAATATTTATTTCTTCACTCTACTAACTTGTTTCCATTTTATACCCTTCTCTCTCTCTCTTTCTCTCTTTTTTTTTTAGATTCTTATTTATTTATTTGACAGAGTGAGAAAGAGATCACAAGTAGGCAGAGAGGCAGGCAGAGAGAGGGGGAAGCAGGCTCCCTGCTGAGCTTAGAGCCCTATGTGGGGCTCTATCTCAGGACCCTGAGATCATGACCTGAGCTGAAGGCAGTGGCTCAACCCACTGAGCCACCCAGGCGCCCCTATACCCTTCTCTCTTAATCTTCCTTCTTATCGCCTGTGGTACTGGCTGTGCGATAGATACTCAGTAAATACTAACAACACGCCTTCCCTGTAATCTATTTTTTTTTTCTGATTGTAGTAGTTAAGAGCACAAAATGAAGGAGACAGCTGACTAATAACCCTGGCTCGACCATTTCTGAACTGTATAATCCTTGGAAATTACCTGATTTCATTATAAAATGTGGCTAATAATATCTATCCCAAAGGGTTGCTATGAGGATCAACTGACATGCTTAGAAATGTGCCCGGGATGTAGATAGTGCTTAGTGTATATTAGCCACATCGACATTGACGTCATCACCACCATCACACTCTTCATCATCTTCATCACCACCACCACCACCATCATCATCATCATTGTCATCATCATCACCATCATCACCACCATCATTGCTATATCCTAGTCACTGGGCTAATGCCTGAGATTCAAAGATGAACCAGTCTTCCTGCCCATTTAAGCAAGACCTACAGGCTAGTGGGAAATTAACAGGGAAAATGTTTAAAAGCGTTGTCGGTGATGCTGGGGTGAGTGCATATGCAGCGCACAGAGGGGAGAGCAGCTGGCTTTGCCTGAAGACCTTGAAGAACATTTGTCCTGCACTTTCACTTAGAAGTGGAAGTTACAAACTCTGAGGATATAATCTCTAATTTGGTTTTCCACGGATTTACTAAACCTACCACCTTTGTGTTTCAATGTCTCTATCTGAAAAATGGAAATGCTCTGAAGCTATGAGAGGGCCCCTTGGATTATTAAAAGTACATTAGCCGTCTGTCTTGATGCCCCTGAGCTGCACTTACATGGAGTTTCATGCTTGCAAGTCACCCTAAGGCAGATTTTACTCTCTTTCCAAAGAAAAGAAACTGATTCTTTGGACATCCACACAATTTAATTAATTTATAGTGCACAACTTTGGAATTTATGATAACTTGGGTGGATTGGACTAATGTTTATATTTTATGTGGTATTTAAGAAAAGTTGGCTGAGCAAATTCAGAGAAGCCAGAACTATGAGAAGGATGTTTATCTGCCTAGGAAAAGGGTCATCTATTCTAAGCCACGTGAAAGCTCATTTACAGAGGCTTACTTTAGTTTCCTACTTTTTGGTTTACAAAATCTTAGTCACATAGATAGTCTCATTTTTATCTGATTTATATGCGAACCATATCAAGACAATATAACCGGAGGTCAGAGGTGACGATACACTATCAATATCCTTTAATCCATTCATGAAGATGGGCCTTCTTTTACAAACAATGCCAGAGTTTAACAGAATTTCTTTTAGAGTAGTGAGTTCATTTGTTTTCAAGTATTGTAGTCTATACAGTTTCATTAATTCAGACTGTCCTCTAACTTACTATTAATTCTACTGTTTTTTTTTTTTTCTTTTTTTGAATCATGCAATACAGTGGTTTTCAATCTGGGATGATTTTACCCCCAGAGGACACTTAGTAATTTCTGGAGACATTTTGGATATTAGAACTGGGAGGGAAGTTACCATTGTTTTCTGGTGAGTAGAAGACAGAGGATGCTACAAAATGTTCTATAACGCTCATGACATTTTCCACAACAAAGAATTACCCACACCATGTGTCAGTAGTGCTGAGGTTGAGAAACACTGATGTAATTAATAAGTGACTTCAATTATTCAATTGTGTATCCACAGGCTAAGGAGAAGTCATGGTCACAGCTTGGCCTGAAGGAAACAACCCCTGTCAAAGACAAAAGGACATTGGCCCTCACAGGTAACATCTTTAGAAGACTAGAGATTTATGCATAAAGAAAGCTCTGGTATAAAAGTCCTGTTGTCATTGTTCTTATTCAGAAGGAATTACATGTTCATAAAGCCCTGTGTTAGGAGAAGTGCTGTTTGAATAACTTTATTTGATTGGCTTTGGGTCCTACTAATTACAAACTAAAAACTCTTTGGGAACCCAAATGTCAGTCAATTGGTCATGTTCACATCTACTTTGCTTTTCCAAAGCGTATATCTTCTTTTTTTTTTTAAAGATTTTATTTATTTATTTGACAGAGAGAGAGAGATCACAAGTAGGCAGAGAGGCAGGCGGGGGTGGGGGGGAGCAGACTCCCTGCTGAGCAGAGAGCCCGATGCAGGGCTCGATCCCAGGACCCTGGGATCATTACCTGAGCCGAAGGCAGAGGCCCAACCCACTGAGCCACCCAGGTGCCCCCAAAGGGTATATCTTCTGATAAAGAGAAACCTGAATAGAAATGCCATTATGTGAAGCCGAAATTATACTGATCACATGCGTCCTCCATTAAAATATTTTGTGGCTTTTAGAGAGATCTTCCCAGAAGAACCAGCCCTCCTCTGAGAAAGAAAAGGTTAATAAACTCAATGAGAAAAATTCTGAGAAGACCAATGCCTCTTTAGTTCAGAGAAGTTTTGCCACATTTCATACCGAAAGACCACAAGACAAGGTAGAAGATTTTGCTCTAAGAAGTTCCATAGAGCCAAGAGAAAATAAAGACACAAGAGACATTTCAAGCACACAGAGACTGAGCAGACAAGAAAACAGTAGTGCTGGAAATGATACACAAGTCATTGTGGATAAAAATGAATGTCCAGTGTTCAAAGGAGAGAAAAATGGGCTTCATTTTAAGGAAGATACTAGTGGAAAAGAAGTTGAGATGAAAGGAGGACCAGCAATTGCAAATGAAACAGTGTTGGACAAGTGTTCAGATAAAAAGCAGTGTGTTGATAAAACTAACAGTGATCAATTCTGTGAAAGGTAGGCTCTAAACCATTGCTCGCCTACAACGGATGTCTTTGGTAGACTTATGTGCCATTGCAATTTAAGGCCATACCAAAAGGAGAACTGAAGTGAGTTTTTAAAGCAATGGTTTAGAAACTAGTTTCCCAGCTGGTGTGGGTTTTTCTTGGCCCTGTTTCTTGCCATTACTTTTTCTTCTTGCCTGTGATATTTTCAGGCATTTTTACTGTTTTCTTCTACTAACTGATAGATAAAGATAATGACTATTATCAATCAATATTTTTTAAATATTTTATTTATTTATTTGACAGACAGAGATCACAAGTAAGCAGAGAGGCAGGCAGAGAGAGAGGGGGAAGAAGGCTCCCCGCTGAGCAGAGAGCCCGATGCGGGGCTCAATCCCAGGACCCTGGGATCATGACCTGAGCCAAAGGCAGAGGCTTTAACCCACTGTGTCACCCAGGCGCCCCGAATCAATATTTTTTAAAAGATTAAGTAAGACGTTCTTATTTTTAGCAATATAAAGCACATCCTTCCTAAGATCAAGAATTGAATAATGAGGTCAGATTTATCCATAAGTTAAGAAACTAATTCTTAACTTATGCCTGATAAATTGGCTATTTTCTGAGAATATTGTAAGGATCGAGTAAGAAGTAGATTATCGAAGGGCTCTTCCTCAACTGCAAAGTTTCACATATAAGTTCAGGTAATTATGTAGCCAATTACAATCAATTACTCTATCTTGTGATGGGCCACAGAATCTATCTGGAACAGAGTATCCAAATACCTGTGTGTTTTTTAGGGAATTAAGATATAATTTTTATTTTACTTGTAAATAATGTATTTGAAACCTAATCATGGAGAAGCCTAATTTTTAAAGAATTAAACGTAAAAACCAATATTTATTAAGAAAGTCCATCACTGTGAGGATATGCTTAGTAAGGTAAGGCGCTGTTAAAAAACTGAAATTAGTTCAATTCTTTCATCGATAAACGTTTACTCTCCCTGCTGTTTATATTCAGAGAGATGATTACTTCCTTTAGTATACTTAATTTAGTAATCTTTCTCTTCTATAAGAAAAGGAAGTGAAAAAAATGAAGATCGAATTATCTAGGTATCATAAAATGACTCCTTTGGTAAAGATTCCGTGGAATAACCTGGGGTCATAATGAGGTCATCAGGGGAGTCCCTGGGATCCAAGTCTTCTACACCTGTTCTTGGGCTCCTTCGTTTGACGGGGAAACATACTGCTCCATTTTATCCCAAATGCCAAACCATCCTACTCTATCATGAAGCTTCACCAAACCACCATGTTCAGCAAACTTTAGCGCTAAGACCTTTGACCAGCTGAAAGTTATCTCCTTGAAACGTTGAGAGCTGGAGCTGGATTTTATTTTCCAGGTGTATCAGCAATGTAAAAGCCATTTCCTCATCCCGAATCCTGGAAAACTCAGCACTAGCGCCCACTTTCCAGAACGCTGAGGAAGCAGAACCCACTGGTGGCAGCAAGCGGAGGGTGATGGAGGAGTGCTTCACCAAAGAGGACAACAAAAAGTGCAGGATAGATGTAGCGAGCCCAGGTGAAGGACACGCATTTAGGACACAGGAGACTGGACAAGCCCGGGGAGGCTTACAAGGCAGACCTCTGGAGTCCACTGGAACTAAGACCTCCAGACAGCAAGATCTGGTGGCCCTACTGGGTAGGAAATGGCTTTTGTTTCAGTCTTTTAGAGATTCTTAACCTTTCCAGCAAACATTTCCAACTGAATTCCACCTAGCCTAACAGCCTGAAGGAGACACAATGCCAACTGATGTCATTGGTGTATGTAAAAAATCACCCCCCCCTTTTTTTTTGTCTGAAGAGATGAATGCCACCAAGAGAATTCTTGCATGACTTCTTTCGTTTTCAGCATATTTATGGTGTGAGAGATGAATGGCTATATCAAATGAGATTCCCGGAGACTTCTAGTATCTGAATTTTTAAAAAATATTAGCACTTGGCAGAGTGCCTCGCACAAGATAAGTGCTCCAGAATTACATGTTGAATACATTTAAAGTTCTGAAACCAAAGTTATTATCTACTCCCCTCCCCTTGTATCCTTGTATGCATGTAAGAAGCTGAATGCAATAGATGCTTAAATATGGAATAAATGGGGAAATGAATGGGCTCACGGAAAGCAAACCATGAAAAAATTAAAAGAACACTGGAAGGATATTACTGAGTTTGTGCTTTAGAACTGATCATGACGTGGACTAGAGTTAGAACACTTAGACTTGAGGGTGGGAAGTAGGAGAAATTTGAGAGCTGTAGCATATGTACTTAGCCAGTTTTATTGGTGGTTTTATTTCCAGACAGGAAAATTTCATCTTTGTGCCTTAAAAGTGTCTTAAATAAAGTCTAAAATATTTTGGAAAGTAATATAGAATAATAGCCAACATTTCAATGACATGAAGAATCTCTTCATCTTTCTTTCTTTGTTTTCGTTAAAATAATGGACCTTATCAGTGTTTTGTTTTGTTTTTTTAATGGATCAAACAATTTCTTATCTTTGAACTTACATGGTTTCGGGATTAAGAGAATTATCTGTATGGACTGTACTGGGGTTACAGCTTTTCAACTATTGTGGCATTTCTAAAAGTTGTTCTGAAGGTGGTACAAACCATAGTTTTGTGGTCCTGACATTCTTTCTGAAAGATGTCAGGTGTCACCTTTATGTATTACAGACCATAATATGCAATAAAAACATACATTCCCTGGATCACTAGCCATAAAATAGATGGCCCATTTTATTTTATTCTCGGGCCCAGTTTTGGTGCCAGAAAGAGGTCTGTTTAACAAATGGCCCTTCTCTTCCTCTCACCATCTAGATGATGTCTCGGTTCCTCCCGCCCCGTTTAATCACCGTATCGTGACAGCCAAACAAGCAGCCATCAACAGTTTTTATACTGTGAGCAGAACGGAAATTGTAGGAGGGTAAGTAATGCTCAATTTTAACACGCTTTCAACAAAGGAAGAGAGTTTTCAAAGAGGCAGATCCTGAGGATCACGTAAATGTTTGCCAGCCTTGACCCGACAACCAAAAACATCATAAAGAAGCATTTTAAGGGATTGCAAACATTTCTGAAAATCGTCACTGATGTCAGAAAGGTTGATGTGGTGACAGTGACTGAAGTCCACATTTATTATCTGCTTTACTTCCCATGTTGTAATGTCTGAAAGTGGGAGAAGCCCTAGTGAGTCACCAGGAGGCTTAGAAGCTGTCCAAAACTTGAAAATGGAGATACAAAATGTAGAAATGAGTGAACACTGTGTATTTATTGTGGCATGTGTTAAATCTTTTTTTTTTTACCATTGTTGTTGGTTTTCCATTTATGTCGTTACTGTATTAATTGCTATTATGTGTTTTGAGTGATTGCTTCAGTCACTGAAGAATTTTTTTAAAGGATGTCTAAATGTACACTCTCCCCTTGAAGGAGGAAATGTACAGTCCATCAGACCGAATTTATTACTGGGAGATATTCCTTCCTCTTCTACAATAGTCACAATCCTCCTTTGATATCTTGTAATTTAATGTCTAAATTATAAAGTTTGCTACTGTCAGCATATCTATGTGAAATAGCAAAAGGAAGCAGAATATTTATACTGCTATACACGAAAGTTACTTACCAACACATGGAAAATATGCATAGAAACTACAGGGCATGTTTCTGCATTTGGTCATTGGGGTGTCATCCCTACTGTGAAGTCCCTTCTTCCTCTTCCTGCTCCATATTTCATTTGCCCTCCACCATAGGGAACCACCTGAATGCTTCACTCCTCAGCCTGCTGATTATAGAGAACTGCCCTTGAGACTATGAGGAAGGGCAGACAGACAAACAGGAACTCTGAAACGTGAATAGGTGCCGTGGGAGTCTTTAGTATTACTGCACGTAGAGGCCCATTGGGGTCATCAGGGACTTCAGTGTTAACCCAGCAATTGTCTCGGAAGGAGAATAGTTATTTGCTGAAGACGCTTTGAGACAATTCCAAGGGCATTTTCTTTCTTTTTTTCTTTTTTTAAAAAAGATGTATTTATTTTAGAGAGAGAGAGTGAGGGAGAGAGAGTGAGCATAAGCAGGGGGAGGGGAAGAGGGAGAGGGAGAAGCAGGCTCCCTGATGAGCAGGGTACCTGATGAGAGGCTCCATCTCAGGACCCTGAGATCATGAGCTGAGCCGAAATCAAGAGGGGGATGCTTCACCCACGGAGCCATCAGTGGCACCCCCAGGGCATTATCTTCATCAGTAGTCACAGGTGAGGTTCCTGGGCTGTGTTCATGTGGTCCAGTAAAGAGACTAGATCTGGAATGGTAGTTGGAATTCAGGTCCTCCTTTGGCTTATATTTACAGGAATGTCATTCTCTGAGACCCAACTGTTTTTGCACAGATGTAGCTGAGTTGAGTGGGACATAGTGGTGGTCATCACACTGCCTCTGTCAGTTGTTGCCACCATCCTCACCTCTGCAGTCCTCCAGATGTGGTGGGCCTTCAGGTCACAATGTTGCTCAGGAAGCTTCTCCTTCGACCCACACCATGATAGCCACATTGCACAAGCAGGCACCTGTGCTGTGTTTTACTAAATCAGGAATCAAAGCAAGAAGTCATATTTTAAAATTGTTCAAGACTGTGCGTTTCGATATGTGATTACATGTGTAAGAAGCTGTCCTTCAAAGTATATATAAATTTATATCCAAGCTAAATTGTCAAAAAATCTCATGGGTGATTATATAATATGTATTTTTATTATGTGTATCTATGTGCAATATTGCTATTACCTTATTTATATGCAGTTTCCAAAATAATTTTATATGGCTGACCTACACCCTGTATTGTTCATACGCTTACAAAACCTAGCTTATTCCACTCACATGTATTCAGAAAGCTTCTCTTTTTTTCTATAACAAGTTCTCAAATTTTAGGCTGCATGTGAATCACCTAAGGAGCTCTGAAAATGCAGATTCTGGGGCCTCACCCTGGATTCTTGCCTTAGTAGGTCTGGGGTAGGGCCGGGAAACCCCTCAGCCTGTGACAGATAGATTGCACTTTAATATTATTTTAGAAGCTTATTGGCTATAGTAGATACACTTAACAGGTTTGCTCACTCAAACCCCAAAAAAGAAATGCCCCGACAGCTGCGTCTTCCACTGGGGCCCAGCTCACACTGCACCACGTCCTCTTCTTCCACAGGGGGCGTTTTGGCCAGGTTCACAAGTGTGAAGAGAAAGCAACAGGTCTGAAGCTGGCGGCCAAGATCATCAAGACCAGAAGCACGAGGGACAAGGTAAAGGCTGTGCCACGTGGGTCTCTCCTTGTCATCATCATCTTCACTTTGCTAAAGCATCTGTCCTTCTTCTCAGGATGAAGTGAAGAATGAGATCAACATCATGAACCAGCTGGATCACGTGAACCTCATTCAGCTCTATGATGCCTTCGAGTCAAAGAATGACATCGTCCTGGTCATGGAGTAGTACGTGTTCTACCAGCCCCTGGCCCCTCCCCTGCACAGCTACGTGCAGCCCCCATGATTACGCAGCCGTAGCTCTGTCTTGCTTTGGAAGTTGCTAGATCTGTGCTTAGTGCACTTCTGATTCCGACTGGCATGTACCAGACAACTGCATCGGTTTCGGAAGGAAAATTACCTAGGAATCCACATCTCCATGTGTGACTTTACTGAGAAGTAGAATAACCTCATAGACATAGCTTTAGATCTAAGCTATAAAACTGTCAAATACCCAGCCTAAAGGTTATTATGGTTAACCTGAAGGAAAGTGATTTTTGAACTACATTTTAATTTCAACCTAATCGTTAATACAAAGTTCACATCAAATTCTTAGTAATTGGGACTAAGAGACTTGCAACTAGGTTTCATTTTTATAAAAATTTAGTAAACAGTTAGAAAGTGAGTAGTTCTCAGTAATGCTGATTCACTATTGTGATTCAGTTCATTCTTTCCTCCACTTGGGGTTTTGTTTATCATTGCGCAATAGGAATTTTGGGTAACAAAATGTCTATCATCAGAAGCACACAGGAGTGGGTTAAAGCCTCTGCCTTTGGCTTAGGTCATGATCCCAGGGTGCTGGGATCAAGCCCTGTATTGGGCTCTCTGCTCAGCAGGGAGCCTGCTTCCTCCTCTCTCTCTGCCTCTGCCTACTTGTGATCTCTGTCTGTCAAATAAATAAATAAAATCTTAAAAAAAAAAAAAAGCACATAGGAGCTCTTTAACACTGAAAGTCTGAGGAGACCCTATTTGACCTTTGCTTGGTATTTGGGATTCCTCTCCCTGCCTTTGTAAGGTCCTCTTTATCTTTTGTATATGTTAGGAAATGGCTGATGTGGACTCACTTCAGAGCTGCAGCCACTGGATGATGGGGACCTTGAGGCTTTCCCAAAGTGAAATTGATGGTAGCATTAAAGGGCCTCAGCTAAGCATCATCTATCAGAGATAGCGACAGAGGTAGAGAAGTCACACACAGCTGCTGGAGGAGTTAGGGGATCTTAAACACCCAGCTGCTATGCCAAGAAATAGCTGTGTTCAGGAAGGAGTCATACTCAGGACTTCACACCTCTTCCTTCTGCAGTGTGGATGGAGGGGAGCTGTTTGACCGCATCATCGATGACAACTACAATCTGACCGAGTTTGACACCATCCTGTTCATCAAGCAGATATGTGAGGGCATAAGACACATGCATCAGATGTACATTCTCCACTTGGATCTGAAGGTAAAGCATGCTGTTTGGTATGAAGCCCCTTCCACTTTCCCCTCCTGTAGATCAATCAGTAGGTCCCATCAGATACTATTTGCCAGCTTGGGAAATTTATGCTGTCATGAGGTACATATTCGGGAATTAAAGAAAACCTGGATTCTTAGCATCATCTTCCTAATCCCAGCTGTTATCACCCCCTAATATTTGCACATCTCTACCTTCAGGTACAACTATTCAGATTCTTGTAACTTCCCTGTGAAAGAAATCCACATGGGAGATCCTTTCCCTAAAAGTTTAGGATTAAAACCACCACCACTATCAGCACCATGGGGGTTATTGCTGTGTCCCTCTCATTTTTAGAATAAGTAGGTAGGAGGATTTTAGCTAACTCAGAATTCCCTAGTGGTAGCCAAGTTTTCCCACTCTCCAAGCATCCTTCGTGGTCTCAAACTCTTTTAGGAGGCACTGGACTTTAGGGATTTGTTTTTCTGTGTCATGCTAGAGCAGTGAGTAGAGACCTATGGCAGAATGGGGTATAGGACAGCCAGAAGGGCAGTGCTAAAATGCTGAGGAGCTGGGAAGGGTGGTGGAAGTGGGGCTGGCACCACATTGGACATGGTAGAGAACCTATGTAAGCAGCGGGGAGCCAAGCCACCTGCCTTTCTCATCTAATTTAATGACCCTTCCCTTTTGGTCTCTCTCCCATTATGAAGTGCCTAGAATTGGACTATAAATTGTTAGAACTAAGGAAAGACCCAGGCTCAGTAACTCTGATCAGCTCTAATATTGGGGTTAAATATCATAAATTGCCTCTTCTTGTGTGGCACAATCATTTTCTCATTTCTCTGTTTGCACAGCATGACCGTAAGATAAAATATATATTCTCTAAAACATACCATCAATTGCAAGTCATAGGGGATTGTAGAGCTAAACAAATTTAACTTCCTTAAATTGGTTTCCATAGTCTACTCTTCTTGTAACTTAGCTTCCCTCACTGTTTTGATTTATGTGTGCTACCTCTCCCATTCACAGGGCAGGAGGAAGTGGTATATGAAAGACAAAGTCAGAGGTTGAAAATCATTAGCAAAGCCCTGGCTTCAAACTGAGTTTGATAATGTGTGTTTCCATGGAGCATTTTCCTTGAGTGTAGATACTCTGTAGATATCCCTAAAGGGATTTGATTGGCAACTATAACTAGGACCTGACCTATCATAAGTCAAAAAGCTCAGTATGTGGCTTCATAACATTGATTGAGGACTTGCAATGGGCAATTTTAGTCATGGCTTGAAGACAAAGATAATAGTAAAGGCGACAGCTGGATGGGTCATTAAGGACCACTCATCCCTTACAGAAATCTCCTTGGAAGAAAAAGGGCCAAAAATATTAAGAGTGCTTGTCACCATTGGAGGGGAGATTATAGGTGACTTAAAAATGAAAAATGGTCTCCTTTTCTCCTTTTTGCAAATCTTATTCAATGAACATGCTTTTCTTTAATAGTTAGAAAAAAATTAACTTTTTGAAGTGCCTTCAAAGCTATAAACACATTTGGGGCGCCTGGGTGGCTCAGTGGGTTAAGCGTCTGCCTTCAGCTCAGGTCATGATCCCAGGGTGCTGGGATCGAGCCCCACATCGGGCTCTATCCCAGGGTGCTGGGATCGAGCCCCACATCGGGCTCTCTACTCCGCAGGGAGCCTGCCTCCACCTCTCTCTCTGCCTGCCTCTCTGCCTACTTGTGATCTCTGTCTGTCAAATAAAAAAAAAAAAGCTGTAAACACATTTTTATATCATAGTATTCTTTGACAATTGGACAACTTTATTCATATTGATCAGTTATTTAAGCTTGAAACCAAATGTTCTTATAGAGTGTCCACTTCATCATCAATAGCTTTTATTCATAGACACCAATTTTAGAGATATTTTAGAAAAGGGCTTCCAAAGACATTATGTCAACCAAATGGTCTATTGAATGTTGATCAAGTGCTTCTTAGTTTCTGATCTCATTTGAACCTCCTTTCCACCCAGACAGGAAGAGGGAGGATAGCTGTGATCCCACCTATAGGATGGGACATGGGATCCTGCGGATTCAGCAACTTGGCTAATGTGCCCCAGCTCTTAGGTGTGAGTTGGGACTAGAACTTGAGAGTTCCAAGCAATTCTTTGAAAATTGTCTTTTTTATGGATGACCTAGACTTTAAATCAAATTCCCTATTTTTCTCAGATCTCAGTTTTCTGACCTGACAAATACAAGCATCCTTATAAGACACTCCATAAACACCGAGTTGCAATTCTAATATCCATGTTTTCTCCCTCTTCACCTCCCTAGACTGTCACCTTGACAGAGAGCAAAGACTTAACCAGAGTCAAACTCAAGAGAACACTTAGTCAAGGGTTTGGGCACTGAGAACAAACTCAGCAAAACTTTGGAATTGCTGAGAATGAAGAATGAATGAGGGGGAAGTCTTCCTTTTACACATGACTTTCCCATAGACTAAGCGCAAAGGGAAAATCTGGAGGTCAGGAGCGTTCACGTTATATTGCATACTCAGTGTGGTTGTTTAAATGAATCAGGCTATTTCTCCTGGAACTCATAAATCTTCGGGAAAGATATTCCTCCAAGAAGGGGAAATTCGTACTTAATAATTTTAGAGGGGCAGAGTCAAGTCCGAGACAGCCTCCACCAGTCCATTTGGAAGGTACTGAAGCAGGCTCCTTGTCTTTCTTCCCTCAAAGAGGCCTCTGCTTGAACTCACACATTATGGTAAACTGCAGAACCAGGGAGAGAGACAGGCAGGGTAATGCAAGGTTGGCAGGGTACCCACAACCTCATCCACCACAAAATTAAAGGAGAAAATACCCACACAGACAAGCCAGACCCAAAGTGAAAGGCCTGATATGTTTTTCCTGAGCATTGCTGTATTTTTAGTTGTGGTTCAAGGACAATTTGAGTGAATGATGGTTGTTTTCATTGCTAATGTGTCTCTTTCTCCTGGCAGCCTGAGAATATCCTGTGTGTGAATCGGGATGCTAAACAAATAAAAATTATTGATTTTGGATTGGCCAGAAGGTATGTGTATTTGGACATAGGTATATGAATGGAGGTAGTGAGCATGTTGGTGCTCTTTCTTTGCAAAGATAAATCTGATACACTTCTTGGTTTTAGACTCTCATTTAGAATTAACTTGACAAAAATTATATCCCAGCCTTACCTTGCTGACTTTGGAATTGGAATGTTTAGAGGTTTCTACAGTGTATCCAAGAAAAAAAAAATAAGAAAACTTAAAAGATTATACAGTGAAAGTTATTAAATTTGAAGACATTAATTTAGAATTTGTAAGTTTGTCTTAGTCTTTTTATTTGTTCCATCTGTAAAGAGAAGATTTACTTTAAAAAAGTGAATAAACGAGATTGGAAAAGGTTCTGGTTCCTATAAGCTTCTTAAGTGAACAGAGTTTATATGTGGACTTCAGTCTATTAATGGTGAATATAAAATGGGTGCAAATAATTGCATTTCACTTACTCATTAAGATGGCCATACTCAAGCCATCGGCATGTCAAGGATTGTATCAGTTTTCCTTTCGTCGTGTTCTAGATTTCAGGTGTTCTATTTTCACCAGCTTTCCCCACCATTGTTTCAGATTATTAAGGTTTTCCAGTATGAATTATGACTCTTAAACTCCTGGAACTTTTTAAAACAAGTTTTTAACACTATTTCCTAAATACACGATTTCCTTTAAAGCCTGTATATTTAAAGTTTGCTGCGTGGCTGACGTTATTTTGTCTTATAGACAGCATCTTTTCAGTTTCTATGACTGTTGCTGTTTGATTGACCCTCTCCATCCCTCCACTTTGTCTCCCAAATTCCAGGTACAAACCCAGAGAGAAGCTGAAGGTGAACTTTGGAACTCCGGAATTTCTTGCCCCTGAAGTTGTGAACTATGATTTTGTTTCCTTTCCCACTGACATGTGGAGTGTGGGCGTCATTGCCTATATGCTGTAAGCAGGTCTCCAGTCTCTCTGACACTTACACACAGGCATCATGGCCCAATTTAGGTCTTTTAACAGATAAATAACACTGTGCCATGTTGAGTCACTTTCTGGGCTCTGTGAATCCTGTGGGTGAAAGGAGTAAATTCTTGCCCTGCTCATCACCTGAAAAGTAAATGTATGTCTACTTGTAATTGTGTTAACTCTTAGGATAATACCTCATGTAATAAAAGTAATTAAAAAGCAACTTGGGTCCTGATCTCCTAAATGATGAAGGTTAGCCTTACCCCTCAGGGGTGACCCTTTGGTGTTTGCCATCTGAGTGTGTGGCAGACTTCAGCAGCTGTAAAGGCTTTAAAAATGAGGTTGTGCTTTCCTTAGAGATTTCATATTTCAGGGTGGCTGCTGGTGTTTCTGTAGGTGTTTCTTTAGGGGCCAGGGTGGGGGAGTGAAGCGTTTTCCTGATTGCAAAAACATATGATAAAATTATGCTTAATTATTAGGTTATTTGCCCTCTCTCAATTTTAAACAACAGAGCCAAGAAAAAGCAACCTCTCTGTAAAGGGTTTGAAGCTATTTAAACAAGACTCACTCTGGTTCCTCTGTCTTACAGACTGAGTGGTTTGTCTCCCTTCCTGGGTGACAATGATGCTGAGACCCTGAGCAACATCCTGGCCTGCAGGTGGGACTTAGAGGATGAAGAATTTCAGGACATCTCAGAGGAGGCCAGGGAGTTTATCTCCAAGCTTCTGATTAAGGAGAAGAGGTAACCCAAGTTGGTTCCGGGCTCTAGAAGAAGGAGGGAGAATAGGGAAGCATAGGCTACCATAATACATGGAAATAACTCCCAAATTCTCTTTGTGACATCTCCGATGCCTGAGAAAAGTTGTAAATGGAAGGAGTTTGATGCTCTTGACCTTGTTTACTGAGATCAGGGACTGGTTTGGTCACATGGCTTGAAAGGGGCTACAAAAACTTCCCTGTTTCTGCCTTTTGCAATAAGACTCTAACAATTAGGGGCTCTTGCCGGGCCTCAAAATGAAGGGTTTGGGATAAGTTATTTCCATAACCCCTTTCACATCTACAAAGCACATATCCGGCTCTGTGTAGCTGAACACTTAACTATCATTTCATTTCAGAGCCTGCTGTGGGCCAGACTGTGCCAAGTGCTTTATAGGCTTGTCTTTTAACCCCTATCCATCTCCAAGAGGTGGGAATTATCATTCCTGTTTTATTAATGAGACTCTAAATAGTTTTCCCAAGAGCATATGGCTAGTCAGTGGCAGAATGGAGCATCCAAAATTCAACCTTCCCCTAAGGCTGCCCACTTAACTATTACATACTATGTGGTCTTCTATTTTCTGTTATGCTAAAACCACGTTAATTCAAAATTCAGCAGATGGAGGCGCCTGGGTGGCAGAGTCTGTTAAGCATCTGCCTTTGGCTCAGGTCATGATCTCAGGGTCCTGGGATCCAGCCCCGCATGGAGCTCCCAGCTCAGTGAGGAGTCTGCTTCTCCCTCTGCCCCTCTCCCCTGTTTGTGCTCTCTCTCTCTCTCTTTCTCTCAAATAAATAAATAAAACCTTAAAGAATTCAGCTAATGAAGAAAAGTGACCTTGAAACAGAGGGGCTTGCATTTTAGAATTACAGGCAGTGGAAGGATATTGTGATTTAGTCAAAAACACTGTTTTTTGGTTTTATATTTAAAATGTAAAATGGTAAACAGTGTTTAAGATTTTCAAGGCCAACCATACTGGCTTCACTGTTTTATTATCTTTATGGCTTTTAAGTTATTAATAAACATGACCATGAACAGATAGGAGTGTGTAATTTGGGGGGAGGGGATTAAAGAAGCAACATGGGTCTGGAGCTATACCTGCACCAAGGAGGTGTTTTATCAATGGGTCTGGGACATTGAGGACACATATATAAAGTCTGACCCTGTCTATAGGTAACCCATGATCTAAGAGAAGAGATAGGTATTTTTTTTTTAAAGGATAGAATACAATGCAGTTAATGCAAAGGTAGTCTATTGAAAAGGGTCAGTCAGAACTGCGTCCTAGAGGGTAAGGAGGACTTAGCCAGGCAGGGGGTGTCAGTGTGAGGAGGGGGCACCGTACAGACATAGGTTTTATCTTTCATGGAAAGGCACAACACCTGATATTACCATTACTATTATTATTAATATTTATACATCACTGAACAATAGGCAGTGAACAGATGGAAAATGTCAACTCTATCATATCTTTGGTGGGAGAGCTCTACATTAACCGAGAATCTATTAGACAGATATGCTTTTATGTGTTATTGATTTAATGCTCTGGATTAAATGAAGACACAGAGGCTGATAGCAGTCAAGCAGTCACATGGCTAGCACAGGGCAGAGTCATAGCCACGCTTCGTGGCCTCCAGTGCCATGTCATGCCTGCTCCTTTGGTCTGAGTGATTCACTAATACCAGAATGACAACTGGGCGAGTGTTCAAATCAATAGTTGGATGAAACTGTGGTCAAAACCTGATACCACTATCAGAGAATAAATTTCTGGGTGCAAAAATAAACTTGAAACTGTACCAAAATTTTAATTATTTGTACTATGTTATTGTTTATTTTTTAATAGTCAGCTTTCAGAAATTTATATTCCTACAGTACAGAAATAATAATTTTTGGCACTGTCAGTTATTGGAATGCTTCAGGAGGTCCAATACTGAAAATTTATGATATTCAACAAAATAGCACTTCCAGGTGAGGTTGGTGGAGGTCAAGAGTTTCAAAAATAATTATATCTGGCTGTTTAAGGTCCTACTAATGGTGATGTTGTCACCAAGTTATTAAACTTTCCTTCATGGATTCAAGTTAAGAGTTATTATCTCTTCAGATCTTTTACTTAAATATTCAGTATCTGACGGAGCAATTTCACTGAAGAAATCTACAAACTGGAGCTCCATGCCCATTGGAAACTACTTTCTTGATACTATTTTAGAAGTAGGCTCCAGGCTGTTGCACTCACTTACAGTTTCTATTTTGAAAGGTTATTTGGTTTAAGGTCATAAATGTTAGCACACAAGACAAATTTATAAAACTTGGAATTAGAAGATAATATCATCTTTATAATTCTTTCCCATGTTATTTTTTAAATCATATAAACCTTTGCTGGCTCAAAGGATATAGTTTCTTTGTAAAGGTATCTAATGAACTCTCTCTCTCGGTACTTACATTAACTCTTTATCTATTTAAGTCTTCAAAATTTCTTTTTAAAAAGTATTTATTGATTTAATTTGGGAGAGAGAGAGAGACAGAAGAATGTATGGGAGGGGTAAAGGGAGAGAGAAGGAAAATCCCAAGCAGACTCTGCACTGAATGTGGCAGAGCCTGACGTGGGGCTTAATCTCATGACAGTGAGATCACGACCTGATCAGGACCAAAAGTTGGAGCTTAACCAACTGTGCCACCCAGGCACCCCCAAAATTTCTTAATTCAAAAGTTAGTGATGCATATTATTCAAGAGCTTTAATATGTAAAGTCACTTTTACAATTATCAAGAATCATTGTAGCATTTTGTTTTTGGAATAGTAAGTGTACTTTTATTTTTTTTCCACTGATGGATAGAAGTTCAATTCATGAAGCTCAAGCATTGCATGAAAAATGGTTACTTGTGTTGGAAAGTGGATGTTCAACTATGAACAACAGTTTTGAATTATTTGCCTCACTTGTCTCACTGCTGTTGTTACCCTGACTGGATTTGATAGTACCCTACAACCATCAATGATAGTTCCAGAGAAGATAGAACTGCCTGTGAATTTGACATTTGGCCATCTGGTCTCTCTAAGGCAATGGCCAGAGCTGAGGTGAATGACAGATTCAGGCCTCCTTAGTGTGTCTCTGCTAACAGCCTTCCAAATTTCCCTTTAGCTGGAGAATAAGTGCAAGTGAAGCTCTCAAACACCCTTGGCTGTCAGATCACAAGCTCCACTCCAGACTCATCACACAGGTAACAGGGGCTTGTCGCTTTTCCTCCCCTTTTCTACCTGACCTCAGTCTCTTGGTGATCAGAGGCTAAAAGCATCTTAGTCTCATATGGGGTTCTGTCTAATTCCATCTGTCATAGCCTTCCAATTTCGTGCTAATGTTGAACTGCTTAAAATGTTTTTATTGAGCAGTTGTGTGTTTTTTTTTTTTTTTAAATAAATACTTCTTACATGGTTTAGGAGATATTATTTTCAGCATAACTATTTATTATGTTTATTATTCAATCATTATACTCATTATGATATAAATTACATCACTGTACTATGCACACACACTTATACACATATATAGTCTAGAATATATAAGCAAACAATATTTTGGAATAGTTGGGTTAGTGTACATTCAGGATAAATGAGCCTTCCTAAAACAGAACTCAGAATTTTAATTGTTTATGGTTACCTTGTTCAGTCTTCTCTGGGTACCACAAAGCTGTAAGACTCAGGTTGATCCAGATAACAACATAAATATATGTGAAGGAGACTCTTACCAAAGACTGAATGAAGATGACCTAAGTATTTGTGGTTTTTTTCATCTTTTTTTTTTCAAGTTTCTAATTAAATTCAAGTTAGCTAACATAGAGTTTAATATTAATTTGAGGTGCAGAATTTAGTGATTCATCACTTACATGCGATACCCAGTGCTCATCACAAGTGTCCTCCTTAATCCCATCCCTCATCTAGCCCATTCCCCGCCCAACTCCCTCTATTAATTCTCAGTTTGTTCTCTAACCTTAAGAGTCAGCTTCCTGGTTTGCCTCTTTCTCTTTCTTCCTTTTCTCCTGAGTACTTGTTGACAATAATTGAGCCCACACTCTGTGTTAACTTCGTACAATAAAATTCCTAATCTACTCTTACTGCCTCAATTGCCATTTATGTTCTTATAGCCATCTGCCTCTTTAGCACAGATTCTTTTCCTAAGTTTCCATTTGGATCTTCTCAGTCCTAAACTGAACTTGTCTTCCCCAACTCCCTCCTCCTCTACCATCCTCCAAGAATGGCCCCCACTGAGTGGCCTAAGCCAGACCCCCTGGGCTTTGCTGTTTCCTTCCTTACCTTCATCCTCCCATCTCGTATTTAATTTATCTCCAAGTTCTATACATTATTTTCTCTAATTACTTCTAGAATCTGTCTAACCTTCTCCATCCTGTTGGTTATCCTGGCATATGACACCCCTCATCTGAATTACTGTAACAGCCTCCTCTAGACTTTTCCACCCACATCCTTATGGATCATACAAATAACACAGAACCAGAAGTGTAACATTTAAGAAACTCAACCAAACATTTAGGATGTTTAACTGGCCAAGATATATAGAGAGGCAATAAGTAATATCTGTCCTCAGGCCTCGTTGGGGAAAGTCTAACTTGAGCATCAGTTAAGATGGTGGTTGTCATGCCCTGGAGCCATATGCGCTTGATACACTTTCATTTCTTCCATCTCTGCTCCCCATCCTTCCTACTCCCCAGGGTTTTGGAGTGGAGCTTTTTCACTGACCAACAAACCTTGGAATGACTATGTTTCAGGTACTCATTTTTTCCACATCCAGTTTTTATTGAAATTAACTTTACTTCTAAATTCAGCATCAGAACTAAGTTTTATTTGTGTCTGAATATACTTTTCCTTGATAATTGGTACTGATGTCAAGTAAAAATAGACTTTTTACCTAGTTGGTACCTCACCCAGACTACATAAACTGCTTATTAGGGTTACCAACCTATTTTGGGCCAATTTTCCACCAATGTATTTTTATCCAAGCTTATTGGTGTCCAAATACACTTTAACGTGGTAGGACAATATGGAAACCATGGCAGATAGATAATGACATTATACAGTTTAAAAAGTGCTTAAAATATTTTTAAACCACATAACAACAACAAAAATCACCTTTTTGTTATTCTGTCCAACCGTTGGTACCTAGGTGAATGGACATTTCAAGAATGATGGGGATTTGGAAAAAAATTTCCATTGTAGAAATCTAGTTAGTTATCATTAAAGTTATAATTATATGGCACTGTGCCACGCACTGTTCTAACTACTTTACAGAAGTTAATTCATTTACTCCACATGCCAATTCTCTGAAACAGATACTGTTATTCTCCTCATTTAGATGAGGAAACAGAGGACAGAGGTTAAGTACTTGTACAGGATCCAGGCGAAAATGATGGAGCTAGCATCCCCGTGTAGGCAGGCAGGCTCTGGAGTCTGAGCAGAACTTCACCACTCTGCTATCCTGCTGGATAATGGGCTTCTGAGCAAAGGGGGCCTGATGATGTTTCCAGAACTCTTTACGTTCTGTACATTTTTGGTGTTACTAAAAGCCAGTATTCAAGCTTAATGTATTTTATTTTTCAAGGAAATATTAAGACTAGATTTTTCCAGAAGATTCATTTTTGGAATAATCTTGGTTCTGATATGTTCTATAAAATCAGAATTTAACTTTGTGTTGAGAATTTAAGTCTTATCCAAAACTATTTACTATTTAAATCTAACTTTTATTTTTAAAGTCTTTCCAGAACTTTTATTTATCTCTTTTAATTGTTTCATGCTTAAAAGCACTTACCATTCCTTAACCACTAAGCCTGCCTATAATCAGTCAGTAAATTTAAGAAGGATTTTTTCCCCCAGGAATTAAAGCCCTGTAGCTCTCTGCCTTCTGTAGTATGCTCTTACATTTCCAACCATCCATATATAACCCATCTTCCATCAGAAACAGCTCTCAGCTGGAGTGGAACAAAGCATTTCCAAATTACAAATCTGTTAGAACTCATCAAGCACCTACTGCAGACTTAATAAATGCTTTGGGCCTAAAGGAAGGAAAACTGAACAACTATGACATTGTTTCTTCTTTGCCAGAACTAATAAGTCTATCTTTCCTTCCCATTCCCAGCTTTATGATCTTAGATCATGCCCTTTTTCCAATTTACTGAACTAATAAAATACCTTAGAACATGATATTCTACCTCTGTCCATCTGTTCTCTAATTCGCCAAATCATTACTTCATTAATGACAACTCTGATCATCTTACTGTATCACCAAAAATTCTTCCAGTGTTCCCCATCGTGCACACCAAACACACACACCCAGCAGTCAAGGCCTGCTATGATAAGCCCTGGTCTCAGGCGTCTAGTCCTGTCTCTGCTACTGCTTCTAGCTTAGTCAAAATCCCTCTGTTTCTGATTCTGAGAGTGATGACAAGGGAAAGTGGGGACATGCTCAAGTTGGACCCTGAATGTGGGTCAATGTGTCTGTCAGAGGGTCATGAACAATGTGGGCTTTTTTTTGTAATTCTTTTAATTTTTATTTATTTTTTAAATTTCTTTTCAGTGTTCCAGAATTCATTGTTTATGCACCACACACAGTGCTCCATGCAATACGTGCCCTCCATAATACCCACCACCAGGCTCACCCAACCTCCCAATCCCTTCCCCTCCAAAACCCTCAGATTGTTTTTCAGAGTCCACAGTCTTTTCTGGTTCATCTCCCCCTCCAATTTCCCTCAACTCCCTTCTTCTCTCCATCTCCCCAAGTCCTTCATGTTATTTCTTATGCTCCACAAATAAGCGAAACCATATAATAATTGACTCTCTCTGCTTGACTTATTTCATTCAGTATAATCTCTTCCAGTCCCATCCATGTTGATACAAAAGTTGGGTATTCATCCTCTCTGACAGAGGCATAATACTCCATAGTATATATGGACCACATCTTCCGTATCCATTTGTCCATTGAAGGGCATCTTGGTTCTTTCTACAGTTTGGTGACTGTGGCCATTGCTGCTATGAATAAACAACGTAGGCTTTTAGAACATCTCTCTAAGAGCATTTTCTACTCATTAGCCGGTCATTAACTCTTCAGGTGTTCTCATACATTAGGAATGAAGTGATTAAAAAAAAAGTTCTAATCTTTCTCTAAATGTTTTCTGGTTTCCCTAGAAGAAGAATTGTTGCTCTAATGTGAAGAACCTTGTGACCAAATAGCCCATGGAAGGCACCCATTTGAAAGGTTGGTCTTGGATCTTTTCCTAAAGAGATGTTTTTGCAAGCCTTCAGAGAGAAGAACAAGAAATAAGTCAAATGTGTGTTACACTATGTGGGAAGGAGGGCAGTGTTTCTGCAGAGAGGGAGGGCCCTGATTTTAGACTGCTTTGTGTACAACATGGATCTGCCATTTTCTAGCAGGAAAAACCCATTTCCTTATTTATGGATTGAGCATAGTCTTACTTCTATGCTTATTGAGTGGCTCCAACAAGATAACCCAAGCAAAGCCTGCAGACCAAGGCCTGGCACATAGAAGGTGCTCAATAATTAGCTCAGGAGAAGTTAATAACTGAAGAGGACAGTCTCTGGTAGTCCTCACAATTGTGTGGGATCAGAGGAAGTATTTGTATTTTTTTTGTTTTTCATATTGATGGGAAAACCAATCTCAGAGACTCATAGACTACATAACTCCCCCAAGGCTCTGCTGCAAGTACATGGTAGAATGTGACTTCTCAGTTGTCTCTGAATTTAAAGCCCATGCTTATTTTTCTTCCCTGAGCTGCCTTCTGGTATTGCCCCATTCTTGGACCTGGAGTAATCACCACTTCATACAAAGCTTCTACCCTGCTTAGAATTTTGTCAGAAAACATAAGCGATAGTGTTACACATGAACACATTTGATTATATCAATAAGCTAGCTTAATTTATGCTCTGAAGGAAAAGCCTAACACAGTGTACTTATTACAGAGGACTTTTAGGAATCCCAATATTTATATTGTTGTTGGGGGCCCATTTATCCTCCAGCAAGTCAGTTCTCTAATTTGGGACAGTAAGTCCATGGCCATTGTTTCAACTCAATTTTAACAAATGTGTAAGACCTTCCAGTCTGTGTTCTTGCTGCCGACTGGTCTTACTCTTTTATTCTGATTGGTATTTATTCTGGTCTGAAGTTTTGGTTTGTCTGTTTGACTTTATATTCTTGTAAAGTGTTGAATCTTTCATAGAATAAGATCATGCAGAAACAAATCAGTAAATCATAACAAAGTTACAGACCAGAGTTAGGAAAGCATTCAGTCTTTGGTGCATGGGTCATTTACTTAGAAATCTGTCACTTATCTAGAAATCTATGAAACATCAAAAGAAAGCCTTGGGCTTCCTACTTACAAAGACCATTCTCATGTGTCAAAGTAAAGTTTTTGGGAAAGTAGAAGAAAGCTTTACATCTTGTGAAAACGCAGAGAAGGAAAGTACTCTCCATGCTCCGAGGCCTGGGTCACTGGGCTTGCTGAGGTGCAGACCAGACTTCCTGTGAGTGGTGGGCACCAGAGTTCGCAGGCGGCTCTCCCTCCCAATTTCATCCACAGTGACCACAAACCTCAAGGGTTTGCCAAAAACTGCATTCCCACCATGAGCACTGGAGTCACTTTTGAGGCCTGGTAGGAATGAATTCATTGGGTGACAGGAGGTTGCATTGCAAGGCAGGCCTGTGACCAGGGTCCAGCAGGGAAAGAATGAGGAGGGAGTGACAGTGGGAGATGGTAGAGTCCTTCCATGTCACGTTGGCGCTTTGACCAATGTGATGGAGGATGGTGGCAGTCTAAGAGGTGACATTCTACAGAGGACAAAGACATGTGAGCCAGTCACACTAGTGCTTGGATACCGTTTTGGTTGGAATTGCTTGATGTGACCTTTCTCTGGGCCCGCCTCCAGATGGTCACTTGGGCTTGCTGCCTTCCTCTCCTCAGTCCCTCCAGCTCCAGTTAGCCACAGAAATTCACCTTGGTTGCACTGCAGGTCGGGGAAGAGCTGTTTCAGGTCCATGGGATGTGGGCACTTCCTAGTTTACTTTTTTCCTTTTTTTTTTTTTCCCAAATTAAAATGTAAGCTTTAAGATATTAACTCTGAGTGCAGCCTCATTTGAGAAGTTTTTTTTTTTTTTAAATCATTTTTTTTATAGTATTTCCTGCCAGGATAAGATGGGGGTTTTGGCAAACTCTGTTAGGAGTAAAACCAACTTTGTGATAATATTGATTTTTAAAATCTGGTGGTTGAAGATTATTCCTGTGGAAAAAGAATGACTTCCAGGCCCTATGAATAAGGCCGGATCCACAATGTAAATTGAGGCATATAAATCTCCTGCAATTTGTTAGAGGTTTTTGATGCGTTGAGGAAACACTAAAAATCAACCCGGTGGCATTTCTCTTTGCGTTTCCATTCCATCTTCTGCCAACCTGTGAAATAAAAATTGAGGATATGTCCTCAGATCCATAGGAGTGATGTAGGCCTGCAAACTGTGTGGGCCCATGTCACACATAGTCATAATGCAAATGAAGACGTTCCCACGCCCGCTTCTTGATGTCACCTTGATGTGGGGTCAAGCTGACAGGACGGACAGTGTGGCAGAAAGCTCGGGAGCTGGCTCGGCTTCATATGAAACAAAGCAGCCTTGTCCTTCGATCTTGCAAATAGTACGAAAATATCTTGCATAAACTGAAAAAATAAAAACCCAACCCAACTCTGGTAAGCAGTGGAATCCTGCAAAGGGTTTCTTTTTTTTCCTTCTCACACGCACACATGCATTATAAAAAATCATGTGTGGTTTTCCTAAGGGGCACAACCAACTAATTACAATTTTAAAAGCCCTGCTGAATTAACAAGAGTCATATTTTGTTTGCTTTGCAGGAAAACTGCTGCGGTTGCTGCTGCGTTGGGAAGATTTTTGGAAAAATCAGCAGTTCTGATGCCTTGACCCCAATGATGACGGGTGGCTATGGGGGCTGGGAGTGACGCTGCATTTGAACTTGGAGCACCCAGTTCAGGGGGTGCCTACTGCTGTGGTTCTGGGGATGTAGACAAGCCCCATGCCCCTTTCCTCACATCCCCACACCCCACGGTAGGACACAATTGGGAAGATGTTTCCTTGACATCTTGAGTTTTCAATGTTTATTTTTTTATTTTAGTCACTGGGATAAGGGGTACACGATTTCTGCTCTTTCTCAGCTTACTAGAACAATCAGACTGGAGATTTATTGGAGACATTTAAACCTGGAGGATACCTTGAGAGGGAGAAAACTGCTTCCAGTCCTTAAGCTATGCCTTTCAAAGGGGTGATCATATCACCAGAAGAAAATTACATCTTTTGTACCTTTGAACACTTGGTTTCTCAGATTTTGTGTTTTTTTGATTTGGTCTGAAATCAGGTGACTCCAAATGATAAATAATTTGCTTTCTGGAACTTGAGCTGTCTCTGAATCCTGAGGCAAGAGGCATCAGACATTGTGTCTTCCGTTTATTCTGAACTTTTCTCCCAGTTCATTGGTTTCTTCCAAATAGCAATTCTACTTTCAAATGAGTGGCATGCATTTCACGAGGCACTCTCTGCTCTCTTCTGACTGAGCATTCATGAGATGAAAGGCACTAGTTTTCACCACTGGAGCAAGAGGTATTTGCTTATGGCTAGTGTTTAGAATTTGGAATAATGGTAACAGTCACAAGAGCTTTCCTCATGCTGCTGTTGTCAATGAGAGATGGGTCATGAGCATCCCAAGGAAGGATGGCACTTTGCTTCCAGTGTTGAAACTACTTTGACAATAATGCTCAGGTTTCTGGTTAAATTCCAACATTTCTGAAGCCCAATGATCTCTCCCAGGCAGAGTCTCACATGGCTCAGTGGTTGTGAAGAAAGAACACTCAGAAATCAGAGGTGAGGCAAACACTCCTGCTCACTCTTTGGATATGAGAATGATTCCAGTTGGAAGCTTCTTGTTCCTGAGCTCATGTGCCATCTCATTACGGATTTTTAATAACGGAAGTGAGCCCTACTATATATAGCATAGAAAGGCGAGGGCCCCTCAAAGGTGAAACGTGTGTGTCATTTCTTGATGAAGAAGAGGCCGTGCAGAGCCACACGAAACTCCTATCACACATCCAGCCTCATGATCACCATTCAGCTTCTTAAGCTGTCCTCCTAGTTCCCATTTCCAAATAACTCCTGTGTTGAGATCAGCTATAAAAATGCGTTTTTAGCTGTAAATGGTTCTAGGCTCCAATAGACACCATACACCCTAGCAATGGCTGTATTAGGGAGGGCAGTTTTACCTGGTATTGGCTTTTCTCCATCATTGCTCGTGTCCACCTAGTGGATCCTTCTAGCATGTCCTTGAATAACTGTATGTGTAATGTTCTTATTCTCATGTGCAAGGTAAAGGAGAGGTAGAGACAGAAGAAAATGTGTAATTTAGTGAAGACCACATGCCAGTTTAGTGGTCATGCTAGCTATAAAACAGACTCCTTTCTAGCTTTGCTCTTGCGTTATGATGCATTTCTTTTTTCCTTTGGCCTATGCATTTATTCAAGGTTGGTTTTCTTCTGCTCCTGTTATGTGACTATGCTTAAAATGTTTAATTTGGTTTCCTTAAAAAAAAAAAAAAAAACCAACAACACAACAAAGCCCTGTGACTGAATTGTTATATTACTGGGCTATCTTTAGCTGATGGTATTCATCGAGTCTGGAAAAATACAAGCCAGTGCGTGCATTAATACGCAGACCGCAGAGAGCTGGCATCTTCTCAAATGCTAAATAAGATGCAAGGGTCTGATTTGAAACCCCTCATGGAAGGGTGTTTTCTGTCCTATAGGGTGGAATCTACCAGATAGAGCAGGAGGTCTTTTGCATCCAGGTCCCATTCTGACTCACCTTGGCAGAGAAACTTTCACCAGACCCCAACACACGGGAGAGGGAACTTAAGCCAACTGAAGGAATGATTTCTTTGTCAAATGAATCCACTAAGGACTCTGCAGTCACTGGGTGTAATTTTTTTTTTTTAAAAAAGAGGTTTAGAAAGGAGACTCTACTTTAAAAAAAAAGAATCCCCTTTGAATTCGGAGTTTAATTTCCACATTTGGATGGGGAGGCCCCCCCATGCCAGCAGGGTGCCTTTTATACGAGAGCTGAGGATAGTCTGCATTGCAGAGTTGATGATTACAGTCTCGAGTTACAGCGAAATGGGAGAATTTCGGTCTCCTGCTCATCCTGTTCCCTCCCTCCACACCCAGTGTGGCTGCTCCTGCAAGAACTGGTAACTTGGTAGATTGCCACTCTGATGGGAAAGGGGGCTTTGCACAGCGGAGAAATCAAACCAGATGCAAGCACGGACCAGAGAAGCTGAGTCTGGCAAGACTGGGGCTATTGTGATCAATTTTTCCAAGAAGTCATTAGGATTTGATAGCCTGATTTGCTCCTTCGCCCTCCTAATGGACGTTATGGCTTCAGTTGCTTGCATCAGGCAGTAGCCATTTCTTTGGAAAAAGGCAGAAATTCAGCACGGATGTGGCACTTCCCACTGCCTGGAGAGAAATAAAACTCACAAAGGATTCAAGAAAAAGCATGCCCTCATTTGTCATTTGTAAGATACCAACACTTTCCCAGAACCTGTTGCTATTTAAAAATCGGGGAGAAAAGAGCTCATGCCCAGTCCATGCCATGAAAATATCTGAAATTGGATTCTCACCTGAACTACCTTGGGGAAAGATTTCTAGGTTGAAATGGGTTAATTCTCATATTTGTTTTTAGTCTGACTTCATATTATTTTGCTTTCTTTCCTCAAAAATGTAAATAGGCATGCTGCTATTGTTGTGGCTTACTTTGATGTGAATGTGTTTTGAAGGATGCGTGAATTATGTATGACATTTTCACCATTTTTATGGAAATTAGCATAGCAAAATTTTTTCTTGTTTTAAAATCAAAATACGTATTTGATATCGGGAAATGAGGGTCTTATTTTTAATTTCATTCTTTTTTTCTTCCTTCTGCTCCCACTACCCCTACTCTAAGCATGAGCCAAATGGTGTCAGGTTGCATACATGTACTAGTTCAGTTTGGATGATGGGCCAGTTTTGATGAGGAAACCTCATTTGGAAAGTCCCTCTGTGTGAGTGTGACAGGAGGGTAAGGCAGGTGTCTGTTCCTGGGCAATTTCAGCATGGGTGGAGGCTGTGCCCTCGCTGTGGCTCACTTCTCAAAAGCCATGATGCTTCCTACCTTGCTTTTGCTTTATCTTTTTTTTTTTTTTCTTCTTTCTCTTTCTTCAGTTAGAATCAAAGTCCATCTTCTTATCCATCACGGTGCTCCCCTAAAGCCTTTTTGAGATAAAAATGGTATTTCCAAAAGTCAAGTTGCTTGCTGTCCTAAAGGAAACTTGAAGCTGGACTATTAGATGACTAGATGTTCGAGTCCTGGATGAAGGTGACTTCCTTGTCTAGCATGAAGTCAATGGTTTCTCCCACTAGAAGTCCTACATATGTCTCTGAGCTCCATTTTAGTCAGGTGTGCTTTCTGTAAGTGATCTTGATGTGGGTAGTTTCACCTTCCATGAAGGCTTACAACTCAACTACTACTTATTCGAAAGAGCAGAAAACATGAATACCCGAGTGTTCCTATCTTGAATTGTATGTATTTTGTAGTTGTCCCAGCCGATGGATGTCAGTGAGTCCTTTCGATGAGGTTTAGTAGTGTAGGTAAGAAATAAAAATGGATTTGTAATGTGGTGATTGCACATGTCATGTATATTTTTTTTTATTTCTGAACATAGTTTCATTCAGCTGTATTTCTTTGCCTTACAAAGATGTACAACCATCATATATATGTATTATATTGAAGAATAAACATGGACCTTATTTATCCTTTGGTTAATGAGTTAAATTATTCAAAGTGGACTTGGTAATTACAATACAAACTCTGTCCTTTATGATAAGTTCTGATATGTTAAAAATCCCATGGCATTTAGAACACAATACCTTAAGAATAAGGTTTTTTTTCTTTTTAAAGATTTTATTTATTTATTAGAGAGAGAGAGAGAGAGACAGAAAGAGCATGAGCAGGGACAGGGGCAGAGGGATAAGCAGACTCTTCACTGAGAAGGGAGCCTGACCCCAGGACCCTGAGATCATGAACTGAGCCAAAAGCAGACACTTAGCTGACTGAGCCACCCAGTCGCCCCAGAACCTCATACCTTAAAAAAAAATGAAGCCACACTACTTATTTGGGGTTCCAGAAGCATTCATTTTTGGCAGGGCCCAAGGTGGCAAAACGACTCTCCCACTTGAAAACAGTGGTGGTTAGGATGTATCCACACAGATTTAGGATTTTTTTCCTGTTAATTTCTATTAATAGAAAACATGGGCTGAGGTATATGTAAAGTGTCTAGTGCCAGAACAGTGTTTAATAAATTATTAAGGCACTTAGCAATTCAATCTTTTTAAATGTATCTTCATGATTATTCCTCAGACAGGTGTCTGTAAGGTGTCTGCTTTAGAAAATTTGCTACTGAAATATTTCAGTATATAATGGCTCCCCATTGTCAGCTGCCACATCACTTTCTGGGGTCAGCATTGGCTGGAAATGCTGCTGGGATGCCTCAGCTCCCAGCACACATGCATGCTTGAAGATGATATGCTTTCTGTGCCAACAGTCACATGTTAGCCCGGCAGTGACTGGCACTGACTCAATGTCAACAAGCCCCCTCAACCCCCACCTGGCTTGAGATAGCCCTACCGAATTTTCCATTGTCTCACACAAAGGGATCCTATCCCTCTCATTGAAACTCCAGTTGTTTCCAACTTGCACTGCTAGGTGAAGCATTCTGACTTCTTCCCCAAAGTGAGGAAACCTCATGATCATCTGTGATATTGTGATATTTTAAAAACTATGTATTTGGTATCATCCCTGGTTCCTGGTGCAGAGCTTCCAAACACTTAGAATTTCCTGAGTGATAGGGGTGAGAGGAGTA